ATGTCGACTTCCTTGAGCAAAGTTTGGACAAAAAGTGTTTAACATTCTGGTCGGCAAATTGAAATGTTCTGCCGTAGTGGATAGTCCAAGGAGGCAAGCGAGAGAGGCGATCGTTGACTATGATGATGTTGTAAGAATCGACACTTTGAGGAACACCGGCTGATTTCGCAAAATAGACTTGGTGATGTTGCACCGAAACGATATGGAAATGAAGCGTCGCGCGACTGATGGGTTCTTGCCAGGGCCTCCCAACTTTCCATTGTAATTCTTGTCCGAGCTGCTTTTACAAATTGGGTAAACGCCCCAAAGACGGTCTTTTCATCCTGTCCGAAGCGCAAATTCGGGTTTTACATGTTAAGAAGACATAAACATGCAGAAAGCTAAATGCAAGTTCTGCACACTGCCTTCAAGGTTGTTGCAGCTGGAGCTTCAACAAGTGTCCGAAAGTGCTTTTGATAAAAGAAGGGATCGGTGCTTTTACCGTGTCTGTATTTGGACGTACTGCTAGTGTTCAAAAGGGTTATGAGCTAGATTTCTTGAACTCGTTGTTTGAAAAGCGTCTTCTCTTGAATGACTTTGTAGAGAAAATTTTCGTTGTACCTTAACCTGTACGATTGGAACCCAAGCTCGCTTCTCTGTTCTGATGCGAATTTCTTGGCTTTGAAACTCGCCTTTGGCAGATAATTGACGGTATGCTGGTTATGTTATCGAAATGTTTGTGAGTGAGGCATTCACTTCCAGCGCTTATAGAAGGTACCCTATGTGCACAATTCAAGAGAAATTAGTTTAACTAACGTGATTGCTCTATAGAGTGCAAAAAATGCTGTTCGTTCAGAAACTCAAAAATTTGAATTCTTGAGTTTTCTATGATAATCCTAAAGAAACTTGGTAAACTGACGCTTGCCGAAAGAAGAATACATTCTAGCATTTCAAAAAAATTCCTTAAAAACCTACGAATTTTTACGGTAATAGATATTTATTCGTAGCTTATCCCAATAACAACATACCACTGCCCTCCAACATGTCCCTTACATGTTGGAGGTCAATAAGAAACTTTTTTGTTCCTAATAAAGATTAAAGAAACCCTCACTTGTTTGAGAAGGGCAGCCTTAACTACTAACCCTATACACATTCAGACTTCAAGTGCGCTAGAAAGTTGTTTTAAATAGTTTCATCAAAAATCTGTTGCAACAGGATATACCAGAAAATTGGCAAAGTTTAGGCATTTGACTATTGACTCAAAAATATACATACCTAGATACTGATGCCCGTCTTCAAGAGAACGTGTGGGTCCTAGCTCAGAAGTTTCCGAAGTTTCTGCCATTCCTTATACCTTTGCTTCGGACATCCACGATCTTCTTGGTCAAGTTTCCACTGTTCCTTGTACCTGGCTTCGGACATCCACCATCTTCTTGGCTGTCGTCGGTGGCTGCGTCCACGAGTTCCAGAGGCGTCGTATCCAGCTGATCTCTCAGCTGGTCCATCCGTTCCACGAACATGTCTGCCCATCTTATTGGTGGTCTTCCTCGAGGATGCTTGACTTCTCGATGAATGCACTCAGATGTTCTTAGTGCCCATCTGTCGTCTGCTGTTCTCATGATGTGACCGGCCCATCGGTGTTTTGCTTTCGCAACGTATTCCGTTGGGTCACAAAGGCGGGGCATTCTTCTTAAATTCATTTTGCGAAGTCCGACTAGATGTCGCTTGTGGCGGATCATCTTCAGAAGATTGCCTCAAGCGCTCTGTGGGTGGTCCAAACAGCTTTCTACTGGCTACGGTGTCTGCCTATCCCAGCTACGTAACAGAGCTCTGCGAGAACGGTGAGTCGAACAGGTTGGCAAGAAGCTCCGAGTTCGTCAGTTAGTCGATAGCTTCCTTTAGCTCGAATGCAGCCCACTGATCTTCTTCTCCTGTTAAGTTCTCCCTCGTCGTTTTCTATGTTCATCGAACCAATATACGCATACGAAGACGTTTCTATAAAAGGGGTGCCTTCCATCTCCATTTTCGCATCTTCGCATGAGGCGTTTTTATGTACAGAGTCCTCTTCCATTTCATTCACAATCTAATCTTCTTCTCTACTTCGTTTAGTCCCTTCGGCATCGTCTCTGCTTCAATACTGCTCGAAAGAACGATGTCGTCCAAGAATCTTCCATTAATTCGTATGCATTTCTGTTGCGGTTCAGTGACTTCATGACCACTGCAAAACCTCCGTGAACAGCTTCGGCAATATTGTGTCGCGGACCCTTTCGCAATTGAAATGGTCAGGCTCCCGCCAGAACGCCGAAGTTATGCCAGCGCTACGCCAGCATTTCGATCGATACACGTGTATCTCGTTGGGGACGTCAGCCCCCGCCCCAACGAAATACACGTGTATCGATCGAAATGCTGGCGTAGCGCTGGCATAACTTCGGCACTCTGGCGGGAGCCTCAGAGTGCGTTGGAACAGCTGCATCGTCGTTATATATCCTCGTAACAGTCAGCTAGCGTCCTCATGTAAGCTGAGTCTACTCCTTGATCGACTAACGCTGACAGGATGGTGTTGTTTCAACGATGTCAAAGGCTTTCTCGCAGTCGATGAAGGTTAGGACGAGAGCCGGTCGATACTTTCTACAAACTTTCATGACCCTCGAAACTGTCTCTATGTGGTCCATGCAGCTGAATCCTTTGCAAAATTCAGCTTGTTCTTGGGGCTGGCCTTCATCCAGTATCCTAAACTTGCTAGCGAGGATAATCTCCGTGAAAGTTTGCACAACACACTCAGCAGTCGTATTGGACGGCAGTTTCGATAAAGGTACGCTGCTAGTTGGACGCGAGAATCTCTTGTAGACGTTGTCCTCCTGCTCGCCGAAAGTCGACGAAAGGGGATGGTCTGGTCCTGAAGTCGTGGACGTATTCATGGTCTGAATCGCTGTGCGCACTTCAGCAGGTAAAATTCTTGATGGAACTTGGAAACAACAGGCACTATCACGGATGTTGATGAGCGGAAGAGGTTGGCATAGAAGTTCTTTGCTACGGATTCCATCTTGTATCGGGATGAAGTCGGAGTCCCGTCTTCGTCATCCAGCAGGCTGTACATGATTATCACAGAGGCACATTCTTTAAACTTCGTCTTTCCTCGGCTGCTTCCAGTATCTTTGCTTGCCTATACTCCCTGAGATCCTCATGCAAGCTGTTCTGCAATTGGCGTTGGCTATCATTCGTTGAGATGGGTTGCATTTGGATTTTGCCTTAGGAAACTTTTTCTTTTAAGTAATTCCTTGGTGGTTTCCGAAATGCGTTCCAAGTTCTTTGTCACTGAGGCGCACTCCCCGCAGGCTGGCAATCCTTTCAGAAGCCGGTCATAGTCGTACGTTGAGTCCTCCTCGATGTGCCAGTCAAACTTAATATGAGCTCTTTCAGCCTGCTATCGTCATAAACGACTTCCTTCCCTCTTGCAACACTGTGGCACACTTTCCTTTCCAGCTTTCGGCTGAATTGTAGGAGGTGGTTTTCGGAATTACTGCAGAAGGATGGAACTACTGGGAAAACAAACTCCACCTTCGGTTGACGAGAATATGGTTGTGAGTCGTTCATTCAGGCGATTCTCATGTCCACCGGCAATGTTCTTTTTTTATGACGATGGAGTTTCTATGAAAAAGTCATGCGGCAGAGAGAAGGCCAACGAGGCGATTGCCATTTCGTTCCGGAGCCCATATCCATGCTTCCCGATCCTATATTCCTCTATTAGTGGCGTCCCGATTTTCGCGTTAAAGTTGAATAAGCTTGCAGAAAAACTTCTCGTTGTGGACGATCTTCGTAGAAAGCCTTTGGTTTTGAATCGTCAGCTGCTAATGTTGAAGCGCAGCAGTTGATGATGTTGGTGGTCTGACGTGGAGATCGTAGGCGTAGGATGGCTAGTCGACGTGATAGGATCTCCTGCGAATCGACAAGATGGATGTTAGATGGGTGGACGACAAAGCCAACCCTTCCAACGTTTCGTGATAGAACCTTCTCACCACGAATGGTGAGGGTCCTATCACTCATTTGTCGCGCGTTTTTCTCCCTGGACTTGGTTTCCTGCAGAGCGATGACGTGGTACTTGATATGTTCTGCAGCATCGAAAAGAGCATGGAGGTCGGCGTTCGTGGAGACTGTCCTGACGTTGTAAACGCAAAGCATGAGGCAGTCTCCGTGACGTGTCGTCCGGGCAGACGTCTCGTTTTTGTCCAATCCAAAAGCCGCCCTGAGGACCTTATCGTTCTTGCTACCAGTCGGCGCTGTAGGCGGGATCCGATGTGCAAGGTTTATCTCTCTTCTTTGCTGATCGAGTAAGAAAAATTTTTACCCTACGAGAGCAGACTTACTCGGACTACGTTTTTGATTTCCACGGGCGATCGCTAATCCCGAGTGTGGAGCGGGAACCGCCTAGCAATCAAGAAGCCAGACTGTGGGCAATCTGGCCCGGTCTGCTGTTAGCTGAAAATTTGCCGAGACCGAATATTATCGAACTTCTTCACAGCTTGGTAGGCCGTAACAAAGTATACACTTGGCTGTACGTTGCAGTTCGACGCCCAGGGTCACTCCCACGTTAAGATGAAGCTGCTGTGGACCTTCGTGAGAAGACTCAAAAAATATTATGTGAACAGATCCGACGTTTGCTTTGGTTACATTTTCCTCATTGGTCTATGTCTGTACACTAAATAAAATGTTATGCACTGCACACCACTTTGTTTGAACTCGATATCCATGCTCTACTGCTTCGGCGCACCATTAATGAAGATTTTCGCACTCATTGCTTGCAGAATAAAAGAAAGGGAATTGTTTTTAACTAATTTGGTCCCAGATCAATATTCAAGTACCGCTTACCTAAAGTCAAAAACTACTTTTTGAAATGAGTATTACTAGGAGGCAGTTGGAGGGGCAGTACTTTCCGCTTTTTGTTATTCTCATAAAATATATTCCACAGTCTAACCATGACACGTAATAAAAACCAGTACATACTTGAAACAATCCATTTTCAGGAAATCATGGCAACTTTACATCGTTTAAGTCGACAGATCTTGGTGTGGACTATATATATCGATCTATTCTAGTGCAACCTTTCGTGAACTGGGTTTTTTGTCAAAATTAATCAACACCTACTTCGAATTTGTAATTATTTGCAAGTTTGCTGTGATCCTCCCTACTCCTCGTTCTATCTTAATTCCTTAGTTGCTGAAAATTTGTAAGAAGATAAATTGCTCAAATATCCATTACAACTTGAGCGACAGTGATACACAAATGGCGAATTAATATTTCGATTGTTTTGGCGATTTGAAATCGAGCTTTCTCGGACTGATTTATCCCGTTTACCCTGCAGTTCATGTTAGTAAATCACAAATATGACAGTGTAAGTCAATTTGCAATATTAGCCTGAATCATAGTTGCGATCTTCTGGGACGGGTATCCTCCAAAATGAAAGAGATCAGCTGTTTTGACATAGAGTTGTAAGTTTGCAGAAAAGAAGCGGAAGGCGACATACAGTGACCGCCAAAAAGTTGCGGACAAGTTGTCTTCCATTTTTCAGCGTTCATTTTCGGATGGAAAACCAGGATGAAAAAATGACTGGATTGCATGAGGTAATAGAGCTCTTCATGAGCTACAACTCAAACATTGCGCTTTCTGAAGACATGTATTCTAAAAATTTTGAAAATTTTTTTCTAGAAAAAGTTCAAAAATGGCCGCGTCACAATTCGCGGACAATAATTCTTCGAACGCGATAATTTCCTTATAAAGTGCGGTTCATAATTATACGAACACCCAAAATTTTGTAAGTTTTTGGACTTTTTGGGAGAAACTTGAAAAGCCGTTGGTACCACGCGATAGAACACAGCCGAAAACGGTATATGATTCATAAGAATGGAAATCGATGTCAACTGTAGGAGTGTTTTTGCGCCTAATGCGAATTTTTGGCGGTTCATAATTATACGAACACCTCAAACAAGGGTCCATTTTTCATTCAAGATTGCAATCATTTGAGTCCAATTTTTTTGTAGAGTTACAGTAACAAAGTCTGACATATCTGCTAAACACTAAACCCAGTGCATTTCAAAAAGAGGACCGTTACTTTTTTCAGAAGGCTCTAAATGCTCTTGGAGTGATTGCTCTCCAAAAACATCCGTTCTTCTGTGATTTACGCGCTCTAATTAGCTTCTACCAGAGCTATAAGATGAAATAAGCTCTTGCGATAGGTATTTTGTTTGACGCTTGGAAAATCTTTTCGTTTTCGTGCCGTTTTTCAGCCAAGTTCCAACCTTACCACAGAGTTAGCACGATTTCGAGCCTCAAAACTCAGCTTCTGAAGCCGTACAATGAAGTAAGCATATAGTATGTAAAAGTTCACAAGACTTTATACTTGGCTAGACAAAATCAGCAGCGTTGAGCGTTTGCTTTGGTCACACAGACGTTATTTCACCAGAAATAATGTTTTTACTATTGCAATCACACCTTTATTTGGTTTGTAGCTCCACAGCCGCAAGATCAATTCTAGAAAAAACCCAAAAACTTTGGCACAGAAACATTATCATGCAAGCAATGCAGCTGCTTCATATCAAATGTTTGCGCAAGAGAGAAGCTGAGTTTTGAGGCTCGAAATCGCGCTGTGGTAAGGTTGGAAGTCGGTTGAAAAACGGCACGAAAATGCAAAGATTTTCCAAGCGTCAAACAAAATACCTATTGAAAGAGCTTATTTTATTTCATAGCTTTGGTAGAAGCTAATTAGAGCGCGTAAATCACAGAAGAACGGATGTTTTTGGAGCGCAATCACTCCAAAAGCATCTAGAGCCTTCTAAAAAAGTAGCGGTCCTCGTTTTGAACTGCACTGGGTTCAGTGTGTAGCAGATATGTCAGACTTTGTTACTGTAACTCTACAAAAAAATTGGACTCAAATGATTGCAATCTTGAATGAAAAATGGACCCTTGTTTGAGGTGTTCGTATAATTATGAACCGCTAAAAATTCGCATTAGGCGCAAAAACACTCCTACAATTGACATCGATTTCCATTCTTATGAGTCATATACCGTTTTGGCTGTGTTCTATCGCGTGGTACCAACGGCTTTTCAAGTTTCTCCCAAAAAGTCCAAAAACTTACAAAATTTTGGGTGTTCGTATAATTATGAACCGCACTTTAGGTCTTTTTTTAGAGCAAAACAGAAGTTTTCCGAACAGGTAAGCATATTATGTCGTAGAGCTCATCGAGGAAACAACCAGATAGGGGTTACTTCCAAAAAAACGCAAGTTTGAAGTTTGTTTTGCCTTTTCAAAGAAATAACTTCTATTTTTTCTTTCAAAGCAAATTTCTTTACATGGAAACCTATTTAGGGCATCCCAACAAAGCTATTCGGATAAAGTAGATGCTCTTTACCCGTCTCCATGCATCGGACGTGTGCTGGTGAGTTTTTCGGTGAAAATGACTCCTGACAATGCGTGCCCAACCTGCGCCTCACCACTGACTTGTACCTTTTTGCAGGCTTGTAGCTCAGCCGTCAGGCAATCTACGAGCCTGTACTTAGGCTCATTCAAAAGGACATGACTTCCTCGACACGATGGTATGCAAATAAGTTCAGTTTGAGCAATCCCAGAGATTTGGCGGATGGGGTAAGAGAGGGCAGCTTCAGTTGTAGGCTAAGCATTTTCCAGCTAAAGCTGAAGAGAGCTTCTTTCACTACCAGTTTTATCCTGGAAGTTCAAAACTGTCAATTTATTTGTAACAGATCCATTTCGAAGCTCTAGGACTGTTCTGGTGTTCATAAGAGCCTTCACTCCAACCACCTCTAAGGCTGCCTTCTTCCACCCCATCCACCAAATCTCTAGAATTGCTCAAACTGAACTTATTTGCATACCATCGTTTCGAGGAAGTCATGTCCTTTCGAATGAGCCTAAGTACGGGCTCGTAGATTGCTTGACGGCTGAGCGACAAGCCTGCGAAACGGTACAAGTCAGTGGTGAGGCGCAGGTAGGGTCATGGGCACGCACTATCAAGAGTCATTTTCGCCAGAAACTCACCAGCATAAATCCGATGCATAGAAGATGGCAAAGAACATCCATTTTAACCGAACAGTTTTGTTAGGATGTTTTGAATAGGTTTCCATGTGAAAAGAAATTTGCTTTGAAAGAAAAAATAGAAGTTATTTCTTTGAAAAGGCAAAACAAACTTCAAACTTGCGTTTTTTTGGAAGTAACCCCTATCTGGTTGTTTCCTCGATGAGCTCTACGACATAATATGCTTACCTGTTCGGAAAACTTCTGTTTTGCTCTAAAAAAAGACCTATAAGGAAATTATCGCGTTCGAAGAATTATTGTCCGCGAATTGTGACGCGGCCATTTTTGAACTTTTTCTAGAAAATTTTTTTAAAATTTTTAGAATACATGTCTTCAGAAAGCGCAATGTTTGAGTTGTAGCTCATGAAGAGCTCTATCACCTCATGCAATCCAATCATTTTTTCATCCTGATTTTCCATCCGAAAATGAACGCTGAAAAATGGAGGGCAACTCGTCCGCAAGTTTTTGGCGGTCACACTGTATGTGCATCTGAACTACAAAGCCGCTATTTTCTATGTAGATAAGCCAGCCACCAATATCACAACAATTTGATACCGGATGCAAAATCGGTTTTTGTGCACAACTCTTTTGTGAATGACCAAAATTTGATCTAAACTGAGATCTTAATTTACCTAATCAAGAGCTATAAATTGACTTTTGATTTCTAGGATCTGAAGTTCGCCAGCCGATGCGATTTTCAAAGGGTTAATCACCTCCACCCGCTCCAATATTTTGGCGAAGAAGGCCTATCATGATCTGCTTTCTCTACCAACTTATAAAGGAAAATTGCTTTTTTATCTGAGCTGTCGCAAAAGCATCTGCTCATCATGTTCCCATGAACGTCGACTTTACGTATTTTATTCAGTCGTCTTCGAATCGTTGCTGTAAGTCCCCTTCTTTGAGGAGCAGATCTTTTTGCAACAGCCCAGGTAATATTAAGGTAAACCTTTATCGGCGAGATGGTGAACATAGGCTATGAAGGACCATCGTTGAAATGTAGATCGTCAAATAGACCGCCCATTCCATTCGCGATAGCCTTTGTGTGAACCAGCACAAATCAATGGAAAGGTATAAGGTAAAGGTATAAATGGTATAAAACAGCTGGAAGTTGGATGTTTCTTTGGCCCTGCGACGATGGGTGAGACGTAGCATTTATGCAATCTCAACCCTACTCCACCTTCCCAATGCACTGAGGCGGATGAAGCTGAGATTGCTTAACTATATAATCTCCCCATCGAACGACTTTGTTATAAATCATTTGATAGCTCTTAAAAAGAAGAATTCAAACCAGCACCCATTAACTTGTTTGATCACACAAAAGTTACTGCAGAAAAATCGATCACGAATAAATCTATTCGACGCTCTACATCATGAGAGAGTCCCCTCATGATGAAGAGCTACTTGATAACCTGGACTGTCGCAAAATGATCTGCTCTGATCAACGTTACCGTTATAAGTCGGAAATGGAACCTACCTGAATATGCAATAAAACTCAAAAGCTAATCCGTTTAGAAAGCTACGACTGAAAAGGAGGACAGTCACTATGAATGTCTGTGGAAGGTAGGAAAGTGAGTGCGATTTTGAGGAAAATTTGCGTGTGCAAATGATAATAAAAGACGGAAGTAAGGAGAAATTAAAGGCGCTAGGGTGACAAGTGGCGAATCCACGCAATACATTAGAGAGAGTGTGCGATTAAGGCTCGCGCACACTTCGCATAATTTCAGTCGAAGCGATCTGACAGATTGCCAGATGCTCTAAATGTAACAATTGCAGACTACAGATGCGTAGTGTGTATAACTTTTGCAGAATGAAAATGCAATGCTTTACATCCAGAATGCGTTTACTACGTTATTGACGACTGAGTACTGTCAAATCGCCGTCACTGAAAGAGTGTGAAATATGCCCTGGGCTCAAAAAAATGCGATATGGCCGTTGAATACAAATTAGGAAAAGGCGTCAAAGCACTTCT